TACTGGGGTTTATTGTGCTCCTTTTCCTAGAAAAATAATAAAAAAAAACCCCTACCAAATGATAATAAATTGGGAATAATGTGTGTATGTGGTCAACACACCTTTATCAATAAAACATACCTCCATGGGTCAGAGCTGAGGCTGACTTCAGCACATTGAGCTGGGGAAAAAAAAAAAAAAAAAAAAAAAGAAATCTCATCACCATGGATTTCTCCTACCAACACCTTCTCCCATTTCACCAAATTTCCCTTTTCCCAGACTTTCTGACAGGAGAGGAAATTGCTACCACAACCCAGCGGTTTTATCCCGCTCTATCATTTCTGGGTTGTAGCGCAACAACTGCTGAATTTCATGTTCCTATAATTCTCAACTGCAGCACTGCTGATTAAAGAACATGCTTTCAACTCCAAGGAAAAAAAAATACAGAGGCTTATTAAGGAGACAGGACAGACTCAGGCTGGGGCTTAGATAAGGAGGTGGTACTTTTGACATTAAGAATATAAATTTTGAAGTTTTATGCAAGGATTGACAAAACTTTTGATGGACTATGCAAAGATGTAAAAACATTCTCTGTTTTACCATGGGCTAAACTGTCTCCCACCTGCAGTAACTTGTATGGTGGCCAGTGCAGAAGTGGCCTACAGTTGCCAACTCTTCAACAGAGACATTTCAGGCTTTAACAGTATTTGGACGTGCAACTGCTAATATTGGAATGCCAGGAAAGGCAGCCAGCACTCATCTGAGACAGTGCAAATTCATTTTGCCCTTGCTGGTCACTGTCCTGCAAAAGGTGGTTTTCAGACAAAAGACAACATTAACCATATTCTGATCATTCTTGGTTAAGAGCATTTTGTTTCTAAAGCATCAAATGACAGTTTGTTTCCTGCCTCTATTCCAGGATTTGTATTTGGCCTTCCCAGGTTTCAGCCAGGAGTTTGGATTGGTTCTGACACTTCTTTTCCTGTTTCCCAGGTTCTCCCTCACACTCCTCTGCACATCCACCAGCATTTCACTGCAGGAGGAGTTACCTTTCACTGCAGGGTGACTCAAGATCTAAGGCATGCTCCAGGGTTTGGAAAGCATTTTGTCATCCTGACAGAAGAGGTTAAAGATAATGAAAAAAACCATTCTGTGTTCTTCACATTTATCAGAATATATTCTTAAAATACCGAAAGGATATTACAAAGGTGGGAACCAGCATGTTTTATAGCTACACCCATATAATGACCAATCCTAGGTGTTTATTTCTGGGTTTATTGCATCCTTCCCTTGGTCACTTTGTACATTTTTCAAAAATCTAAAGACTTTAGAGCTTTCCTGCTCGCTCTTTATGATCATTAAAATACAGAATGTGCTTCTGAGTTGGCAGCTGAAAGATCAAAAAATAAAAATTACCTCTCTCATATATTACAAATCACTTGTGCAAAAGAGATCAGCAGTTAAACACTTACAAATGTAAAACTACTGCAAACCAAACAACTCTTGCTAAGTATGCTGGGGCTTTTGTGGGCCAATATAACAAATATAAAACATGAATGGCTACAGACCTAAATATATACGTGGCTGAGTTTTACTAACAGATGTGGTGCAATTCAGCAAAGCTCTGCCATCACTGCTCCCCACGTTTGCCTTCTTAGTCAAGTATTTCTCCTTCAGCCGAGATGTACAACATACAAAATAAGGCCATGTTCTTAAAACACAAGGTTTCCTGCTGCTGTAAATCACACGCAGCGCTGTTCTAACCAGAAAGCCTGGCTAAAGTGGAAAGAAAAGTACGTGCTTCTGCCAAAGGTTTGTTCTTTGCAAGCCAGTAATTTTCAATTACAAAAGTTTTCTAAGAAAGCTCTTGAAATCGTGTTGACTTCAGAGGAATATAATTTCTTCCTATTCAAGTAATAAATTATAGATTTCTGTTTGTTCAACCTGACTAGCACTCCACAAATGGAGAATTAATCTGATGCTTCCTCTGATTCTAAAGCCATCACGAGGAGTTTTTCAGGTTTCTGTAAACACATCTTAAGAAGGGATTGAACAACTTCCACCCTACAGATCAGTTAGCAGTGCTTTTGGGGGATTAATTCCTGCTCACAGCATAACTGGGATACATCACATTTCTGGTGCTTAAAGTGTTGCAGAATCTGAAAAACGCAGTGTGAGAGCAGAAAATGTAAAATGAGATGCAAGGAAGAACTTCCTCCTCACCAGCTTCACTTGCACTGTACCACAGGAGCACATCTAAATCAGAGCAGTAAATGGTCCCAGAGAACTTCCTCAGTCACCTGCCTACTTGTTCCACAGATCTTATGTGCTTCAAAAGAAGAGCTACAGTCTCACATGACCAGAACATCAGCAGCAAGTTGTTAAATTGATTTTATGAAACATAAAATATGAGGAGGACACAGCAATTTAAGCGTTTAATTGACTAGTGGTACAGAGAGAATGTCTACTGAATATTTCTGCACCATCTCAGGAAAGGAAATTTCCACATCCTGTCTTTTGGGAGAAGAACAGGAGATTTTAGCCTTTCACTTAGCTTGCAATGTACCTGTCTTACATATAGAACAATGCTGTAAGGAATACACAAGCTTTTACCCTCAGGTATTGAATAAGGGCTAGACAGGAAACTTTCTCAAGCACTTTTCAATAAGCTACTCCATTGCTTCCTCTTGGAGACTTACCAAGCATTTACTAAAAGTTTCCTATTTTCCTATTAAGTTACCCTTTCTTATTTTTTTTCTGTTTTTAACAGAAAGCCACTTCCCCCCAGCCAGCACAACTGAGTTTATGATCCCTTAACTCAGATATATTTCCCATGCTCTTCTGTGTTAGAGTTTATATGAAAACAAGCAAGAGCAGTTCTTTCTCTTTTACAGTGTCTCACCGGTTGCTAGTAGAGAAAAATGCCACTAAACTTCTAAGCAACTCCCAATGCTTTCTTCTCAACTAACAAAAAAAGAGCTACTGCAAATATTTTAAAAATTAAAGAAACAGCAGTAGAGTATCAGCCCACGCAGCTCAACAGAAGTGCCTTTAATACAATATTTTTCATTTATCCTCCCAAAGTTCTGCTGTTTCTTGGATGAATACTATAGCAAAGTATTCTTATACATGCTTAAAGAGAAAACTCAAGTTAAAAAAATGGTTTTGCCTTTTTTCCTGCCATTCTTTTAAGACAGAAGGTGATGCAGCCACCAAGCACGGAAAGTTAAACCAGTTGTAATCCTTGCTGGTAGTGAACTACTTCCCATGTGACGAATAATTGATTTTGAAGCAAAGATACACACAAGCCACACACATTAAAAATGAAAAAGCCATTTCTAATCAGTATAAAATATCCCTCCGTTCTATAGCAGTTGGAATGCAACCTAAGTTTATTAACAAAAGAAAAGCCCTTTGAGACATGACTTGCTGAATTGATTGCTGAATACTGTCAAAAATATTATGAGATACAACCTAGACACTAAATCTCCACTGTTAATATATTTTATTTAATTATTTTCTTGAATGAGGCATTTCTTGACACAGTAGGCAAGGGAATTCACTGCTGTCAAGAAGGAAACATAGTTAATTGTGCACCAACGAGCACGTCCTTTCCCTTACATGTTCATCACCGGACAACAGAGATGCTGTGTCACAACCTACTTGTATTTCTCCTTTGGTTTCTCAGCTGTTCTTCAGGTTTCTCTCCTCTCTTCCCTTTCTTTGGAATGTGAAAGTTATAGAGATCATCACCCTCATATAAAATTACTTCTACATTAGTCTTAAATGATAAAAAAACCCCTAGAGCCTTTCAGGTCAGAGAGGATATTTGTTATATCAATTTTCCAGAGATTTTCCCTATCCCCTGCACCATTAGCACAAGGAGGTTGGTCTGCAGTGAAGATCAGAAATAAAGCCATACAAAGTTACATAAATGTGATAATTGTAGCTAAGGCACAAACCTTGCATCATGACATCTCTGGTCTTGGTGCACTTATTCCAAGGTCAACCTTCACCCTCAACAGTTCCATCCATCAAAAATAACAGGTTGCAGATTGAATCAACTGATAAGAGGCCAGAGTGCAAGATGCAGAGTAATAGCTCTCCCACATCAAGGTTACAGCATTTGACTCTCACTGCACAGCAGGCTAAAGCTAATAACATGTGAGCTGTAAGAATCATTCAACAGACTGCATCATAAGAAACATAAAAGAGTATGCAGAGTAAGTAAGAGGTGCTCTTATTTCCTGAGGTATGGTTACTGTGGCAGCAGACACACTCCCCAGTAAGTTTGTCTCACCCATAAATTATGCAGATAATTGAGAAGTCTGAGGGAAAAGAGCTTTTAACAAAATTCTGAGTCTTACAGACTTGCAGGGATTTTGAGCAGAGGGAAGTTAAATGTTGTCTTTTATACTGTGTTTTTCCAAGGGGCAGACAGGGATCACAGGATAAACTGTGCATGGAAACGGGCACAGCCATGCACGTGAAGCAACTGCCTTTCCTTCCCAGGAAGAGAGCCATGGCTGGAATACAGGCACAAGACAAGCTCAGACTTCACATCAACTTTTGAAAACAGCAGCAGAACGCTGACAACAGAAGGTGACACTTCTGACACCCAGCAGCTGCTTATGACAACAAAAGGCCTTGTCTGAATTGGTGTCTGGTGTAACTTGTCTGACCATAACACAGAGGAACAAACCTGGTACCTGATTTTCAGCTTTTCCATAATAACAGTGCTTTGTATCAGCAGTGGGAATTTTACATACAGATGTTAGAGCAAGTCACATCAGCTCAGCTCCTCTCCTGAGTGCAGCCTGTCAATGTTTGTGATCTGTACAACACAAGTGTTAAGCTGCTGTTTCACCAAAGAAGCTGCCCACACTATGCAATACCTGACAGGCAGGAAACAGGAATATTTACCAAAAAAATTCACTTATCTTGTAACTTTCTATGCTTGTTATCAGTGGTGTTATTCATAATCCAATACACGGTTGGTTTTTTTTCATCCAATGGGTTACACTCCTTTTGATGAGCAAAGTGTATGAATTGTCATTTGTCACACTCCTTTCAGGTAGAGCAATTATGATAATGCATAAATTACAAATTTTGATTCATTGTACGAGCAAACAACAGAACAGTATCTTTTATCTGGAAACCTTTTCAAGACATGCATTTTAATCAGTAGCCAGGGAAACCAAAAAAGAAAACGCAAACTCATGATGAAGAGGCTTGTGTTTAAGCACAAGACATTTTCAAATTTTTCCCAAGAGAGAAAAATTCAATCTGAAAGTACTTTGAACAGGGCAGGCATGAATTCGTCACCTGCTGGTTGGTTTATTGTGTCACAGCGTTCCCTGATCCCCCTCTCTACATCAGCTGTAATAAACAGCTATTACCATACACAAAGTCATGTTTGGAAAGCTTTAGCATTGCAGATTATCAGCTTCTAAGACAAAAGATGACTTTATATGGGAGAGGTGGCACGGGCCAGTAACCTGCACAGTGGGCTGGGAAGATTATTTGTTAATGCTCCACACAGTTTTGAGGAATTAGGGTTACTCTGAATGAAAAATTCTAACCAGCATGAAACACAGAAAACGCCTGAGCAAATCAACAGCTCTGCTCCCAAACATTTGTTTTGACTCTATTGTCCTGATAAGAATCACAATTTTCACAGCAAATTCTATTCCCTTTTCTGTTCTGTAGCCCTTTTCCTGACCCCCAATACAGTTCCTCTGTAATTCCCTACAGTATAGCATAAATGCTCTGATATTTTGTTCCTGAGACAGCAAGTATAACTCATCAGTGGGAAACAACCAGCTGCAAGTGAACCTGGGCAAGGGACAAAGAGCATTCCTAAGATCTTTCCTTCATATCTCATTCACATTGACCTTTGGGCCTTGCATTTCTTTTGGGACAGAGAGGATTTAAAATACTGGGCAAAGGGAGAAAGCAGTGGGCTGTGCCAGGACACACAATTTCACTGAATGCCCACGTAAGGAACACGTAGAAGTAACCATCCCTGGCTTTACTAGAGACCACAGAAAACTGAAAACTATGAAAAGTGTAACTGTATAAATAGCTCTTGTGGTTGAAGGAAGGCTTGGGATGCTGCCACATCGCTGAGGAGCTGTTAAAAGGCACCTGGAAGAAAGTTGTGCTTTCCCTCTCACTGCCTACTCCCCGTATCTCTAACTCCACTGACTGAATCAGTTGACCAATTTTTAACTGCCCTTTTATCTTTATAATTAATAAAGCTAGTAAGCCTACTTAATACTCCTTAAATCCTTGTAAATGTCTCTTCTTGGTGCCTATTCATCCTTAAAAACGCTGCCTTATAGAGCCAAATTGGAAAGCCTCGTGTTTCTTTTACTGACATGCTTCAAAGAACAGTGGAGCTGTTTGTACACATCGGGACAGAGCATCAGTAAGTAATCAGCAAACACCTTAGGAACTGCAGCTGTTTCACAGTTAAGCATCTTTAAAAACATTACCTGAAATTCGTTAGACGCTGCTTCAGGCACATTTTAAGAGAGCTGCTAATAGAGAAAACTTTTGCATGAGTCGTTCACAGGAGCCTCTCCAGCTCGAGGTGCAGCTGCAGCCTCTCCTGCCCTGGGCTGTAGTCTCATCAACATATTCTGGTACACATCTGGAGAGATGCACTGTGATACTAAATGCAGGGTTGTACTTAACTTACAGCTACTAATTTCAAGTAGGTCACATCCAACTGAGCTGAGCTGCTGCCACCAATGTGAGTTCAGCAATTTCAAGGATTAAGTTTAGACTGCCAGTGAAAAGATCTTTGTTTTAAAAGGAAGACAAGTAATTAGCAGTTTATTGCTCTGCAGGCCACATGCAGAATTTGCAGTAAACACTTGAGCTGTTTGGCCCAAAGTCAGGAATAACTGCAATTGATATAAAGGTTTCTTACATCTTTTCATGGATATATTACACCCCATTCCAACCCCTTCCTTCTCTACCAACAGGACAAAATTTAACTCCAAGGTTTCAACACTATTCCGAATACTGGGCCAGTGGGGAAAATACCAAAATCAGCATTTTCTGCTCCCTTTTAAGACCTATATTTATTCATTAGTTGTAAGTACCTGGGAATTGGAAGTGGGTGGAATAATGGCATGAGTAGCCAAGGAAGTGGGTCAGTTCCACAGGTGGAAAACCTGACATGTCATAACCTGAGCCTCCATTTGCTTTGTAATTCAAGCAGTCTGCAAATACAAACACATAAATCTGGTTTTTAAAGGAGACAACTATCCATGGAAAAAGTAACTCTGGAGTGCTCAGAGAAGACAGATTTATCACACAGACTGTACTTAACTGATTAGTCCTTCACACTGCAGGAAACCTTTCCCTGCTGGCTCCCTTTTCCAAGGTAAAGGAAAATGCCATCGCAAGAGACGTTTAAATTGACTGAGATTCTGATTCTTATTGCAGAGGTAATTCAAGGCACTTGATGCAACACTCCTCCTCCTGCCACATATTCTGTTCTCCCTGCAAAATGGCAGCAGCAGAAACAAGGCCAGCAAGAGCAAACAGGGAAGCACCGAGTCCTGAAAGAGCATCTGCACCACACGCTCGAAGTAGTTTTAGAACTACAGATACAAAAGTCTTGGGGGAACCTGAAAGCTTCAAGCAATTTCTCCAAATCCTCCCGTGGTCAAAGAATAAAGGATTTACACACAGTTCCTTTGTTTGGGGAAGGCAGTTGCTCTGGGATTAGAAGTCAGTCCATATTTCCTCTCTGGGGTTTACACGGTGATCTCTGAAGATCTGCCATGGCCTGTTTTGTACAACAGCCTTCCTGGGGTATGGGAAGTCTCACTCTGGGTGCCTCCAAACATTTACCAACTTCATTATTTCCTGAATTTTGTTATTTAAACCATCCCTTATTAGCTGCAAAAAGCATATGGGACCCTGCTATAATGAAGCTACTCAATATTTTTAGCTGTTTAATTTTGGATCAGCATATCATCTGGAGCAATCACCCCTCACATTTCACTTTAATTGGGCTGTCTGAGACAGAAGGGTTGAAAAAGGCACACATGTTCCATTTCCAGGCAGTATGTTCAACTGGCTTATGAAAGGTTAAAATCAGGAATAAGAAAATAGCTTTATTCCCCCAGGAGTAATGCCAGTTGATCAGTTTAAACACAGATGTTTTAAGCTCCACATCTAATAAAGAGTATACCAAGGCTCCAGAGATCTGCACAAATAGGGAAATTCCTTCCCTTCAAAGTAGATTCTCATTATAATGTCTTCTACTATGCAAATATCTGACAAAGAAATCATAAAAGCCAAAGCAGTGGGTGGTCTGCTTGGATGACAACACTGATAAATCTCTAGTTGATGGCAATATGCAATTTGTTACTGATAAAGAGCACTCAATATTCTCAAAATGCAAATGTTTACATAGGCAGACAATCAACTGATCAGTCCTATACAGACTGAAAGATTAATGGCCATGTATTCTTAACCAGGCTTCTGAATGCCTCAAGGGAAATAAGGACTCATTGCAATGCCCAGCTCTTAGCATCACTCAAAATAAGCAGGCCAAGTGCATTTTTTTTTTTTTTTCTTAATGACAAAAGTTAAAAGTAGTTTTTTCCCTTAAGGAGATTATCACAGCAGTCAAAATCACTACATAACATCGAGGAAATATCTGCACGTGCATAAGTCACACTCAAAGAATTTAGGAGCTGAATTTCCTTAAACCAGTCCTCAGTTTAGTGGTGGCAGCTCTGTGTTACCAATCCAAACCACCCCAGTAAATGCAGTGCTGAGAGTGGTTCTGGTTAAGTCATTACAGTGCACTGGCAGCCTGTGAGACATCCCATTCCCTGTCCTACTTCTCATTTTCAGGCGATTCCTTTTATTGGTAAGCAAAGTAATTTTTGGATCTGAAACAACACACCATGTCTTAGAGATTGATCTTGGAAAACAGTGAACCTTGGATTCATTCTCAAAAAGAACTGATTCAGGTACTTTGCAACATGTACAATAAAATTCCTAAACAAGGTTCAAATCTGATAGCAACATCTTTGGAGAATTTGACAGGGTGCTTAAAAGTCCTCTCAAAAAGTCCCTTCTTCTCCTGTACCATGGAAAACTATGTTCACAGGTACAAAGTTTTATTTAATGGAGGGAGAGAGAAGGAAAAGTTAATTGAACTGCTGGGCACCAGAGCTACTCACCCCACAGCACACGGAGCTAACCAAGCCAAAACACTATCCTGAATGTACCAGACAGGTTAGAAACACGGTACTGCTTTTTGCTGAACTGGTTTTAACATGAAATATTAAATATGGGGCCTGTATGCTCAGCATTTTTTTCACACCAAAATACTTTCTCATGAGATATATTAACTAGTATCTCTTAGTCACAGTGATAAAAGAAGGCTTTTTGAAAACGCTAAGTAGCCATCCCCATATGTGTAATTTAGGTTTGCATTTGACACCAATCTAAGAACAAAACACAATTTGACAAGGTCAGAAGAGAATGCTGAGCACAGCAGCTTGTAAGGGAAAGCTGGATGTGGCAACACAACTCCCCTGATGTACTAGAAAGGGGGTCACTGCCAGAACCTCCCAATGCCCCACTTAATATTCAATAAAACTTATTAGGACAATCACTTTAACTTCTAATATGCTTTGTCTCGCACATCACTGGGCCATTATTCTTTGTGAACATGTTGTCAGTATTTAATTCAACTAAGTTTGTATCCATGGCAATGGTTAGGAGTAGGCTAAAGGAAAAGGAATGTAGTCATAGGCCAGTAGCTCAGCAACAAAAAAATACAGCAGCCCATTAATGAAGTGAGAAGAGGTGAACAGGAGCAAGGAGAACACCAACAAAAGAGGGGGCAGTTGTAATTACAGTTGTGAGGGAGGGCAGAGAAGGGTGGGAAGCTGCCAAACTCCAGTTGGACTGTAATTTGGCAAATCTTGTATTTTTATCATTACTAACATTTGGTGGTCACTTCCAGTGTTCCAATAAATACAAACAAGCTT